GGCTCCCCAGGCAGCTCCTGCCAATATAGGAGACCTAGGTTCAACACCTGGGTGGGGAAGATCCCCTGGAAAAGGAAATGGCTACCCCCTCCAGAATTCTTGCCTGGGAGATGGACAGAGAAATGTGACAGGCTATAGTCCATGCGGTCGCAAAAGAGTCAGACACGACTTAGCAACCAAACAACAACAGTATTCATCATGATACTCAATGAGCAAAGTGTCTGAGGGTAATTGGTGATTTAAAGTCTGGTTGTAGGTTAGAGTTTTGCAAGTAGAAGCTGTGTGCCTGGAATGTGTGACCCTGACTGGGGTAGCTGCCCCTGTCTGGGCGTGGACCCTGCACATGACACCCTTCCCTCGGGGCCAGCTTAGACAGGGTGTTGCCTGGCTGTCAGATTCTTTGGTTCCTTATTTGGGAACATTGAGAAATTGGAAAGAGAGTGTTGAATGAAATAAAAATGCACAACATGAACATATATACACTACTACATATAAGATAGATAACAAACAAGCACCTACTCCATAGCACAGAGAACTCTACCTGGTATTCTGTATCCCTATAATAACTATACAGGAAAAGAATCTGAAGAAGAATGGATACATATATGCGTGTGACTGAAGCACTTTGCTGCACACCTGAAACTAATGCGACATTGTAGATCAACTATCAGTCAGTCAGTTCAGTCGCTCAGTCGTGTCCGACTCTGTGACCCCATGGACTGCAGCACGCCAGGCCTCCCTGTCCATCACCAACTCCCGGAGCTTACTCAAACTCATGTCCATCAACTCAGTGATACCATCCAGCCATCTCATCCTCTCTCATCCCTTCTCCTCCTGCCCTCAATCTTTCCCAGCATCAGGGTCTTTTCCAATGAATCAGTTCTTCGTATCAGCTGGCCAGAGTATTGGAGCTTCAGCATCAGTCCTTCCAATGAACACTCAGGACTTATCTCCTTTAGGATGGACTGGTTCGCTCTCCTTGCAGCCCAAGGGACTCTCAAGAGTCTTCTCCAACACCACAGTTCAAAAGTATCAATTCTTTGGTGCTCAGCTTTCTCTATGGTCAAACTCTCACATCCATATATGACCTACTGGAAAAACCATAACTTTGACTACATGGACCTTTGTCGGCAAAGTGATGTCTCTGTTTTTTAATATGCTGTCTAAGTTTGACACAGCTTTTCCTCCAAGGAGCAAGTGTCTTTTAATTTCAAGGCTGCAGTCACCATCAGCAGTGATTTTGGAGCCCAAGAAAATACTGTTTTCATTGTTTCCCTATCTATTTGCCATGAAGGGTTGGGACAAGATACCATGATGTTTGTTTTTTGAATGTTGAGTTACTCCAATATAGAATGAAAATTAAATTTTGAAAAATGCACAATATGAGGCCTGTGAGTTTTAGTTTTATTTGGGGACTGACTGAGGACTATAGCCCCTACAGCCTCTCAGAGAGTTCCTAGAAACTGGTCCAAAGAGGTGGGAGGATGTCAGCATATATGTGACCTTGGACAAGGAGAATGTGCAATCAAGCACGTATCTCAGAAGAGCTGCTACTCACACAAACAGATGTCTCAGTTAATGATTTCAGCACTTCTCTAAGTATGGAAAGATGCAAGAAACCGCGTTCATAAGAGTTTTCTCCTGCAAATACCTACCTATCTGAAGGGCTATTCGACCAGTTTTCCCAGAGCACTGAGAGCTTCATCCCTAATCTCTGCCCCGAACTCCTTTCAGGCTGTGTTGAAGGTGAGCAATCTCAGTGGCTCATGACCCAGACCTTGCAGAACCAGGTGACGAGGGACCTTCTTCCGGCATGAAGGGTAGTACTTTAAATTGCAAACATACATCCAATGTGTAGGCACCTGAGGTCGGGGAGCCAGAGGACCTGAATTTCAGGGTAAGTGACAGATGCAGGAGCAGTGTGGAAGGGCGTCCTACTGGCCCATGATTGCACCGATTCACGCAAGAATCACCAGCCAGCCTGGGGATGCTGCAGAGGCTCCTGGGCCCGCACTACCGTGAGCTGGCCAGAGCCTGGGTTCCTCAGGAAGGCATGAGGGTCTCCGCGGGCACCGTGGGACTAGTGTGGCCACCCGGAGGTGGCGGAGTCCGGACTGGGTGCCCTACTTCAATGGCAAGGTTAAGGGCGATCAGAACTTCCTCGATGGTCCAGTGGTTACGACTCTGTGCTTCCACTGCAAGGGGGTGCAGGTTCGATCCCTGGTCAGGGAACTAAGATCCCACATTCTGAGCAACCGCACACACACACGCACAAATCGAAGACTAATCAAACTGACCCCCGACCTCCAGTCCCTCTGGTGCCTGGCGGTGCTGCCTCATTCCACCTGCATCTGGAGCAGCCCAGGAAGGCGGGGAAATACACAGCGTGAGTTAGACTGCCTCTGTTGGCGGATACAGTTTTGGTGTGTGAATGCACACTACAATAAACTTCGCTCTGGGGGAAAAAAAAAGAATCACCAGTGGAGGGGGGCTGGGAGGGAGGCTCAAGAAAAAGGAGATGTATGTTACTTATAGCTGATTCTGGGCTTTCCAGGTGGCACAGTGCTAAAGAATTCACCTGCCAATGCAGGAGACACAAGAGATGCAAGTTCTATCCCTGGGTCAGAAAGATCCCCTGGAGGAGGGAATGGCAAGCCCCTCCAGTACTCTTGCCTGGGAATTCTCATGAACAGAGGAGCCTGGTGGGCTACAGTGCATGGGGTCACACAGAGTCGGACACGACTGAATGACTGAGCAGAGCACGTAGATGATTCACGCTGTATGTTGTTTCACAGCAGAAACTAATACTCTTGAGAGTCCCTTGGACTGCAAGGAGATCAAACGAAAGGAAATCAATTCTGAATATTCATTGAAAGGACTGATGTTGAAGCTGAAGCTCCAATACTTTGACCACCTGATGTGAAGAGCTGACTCATTAGAAAAGACCCTTTTGCTGAAGATTGAAGGGAAAGATTGAAGGCAGAAGAAGAAGGGGATGACAGAGGATGAGATGGTTGGATGGCATCACCGACTCAATGGACATGAGTTTGAGCAAGCTCTGGGAGATGGTGATGGACAGGGAGGCCTGATGTGCTGCAGTCCATGGGGTCGCAAAGAGTCGGACACGACTGAACGACTGTACAACCACAAATGTACACCAACATCAGCAAAAAGAAAAGTCTGAAGAATGAATTAGAGCTATTCTTGCTAGCCTCCCTCAACTGAAGGACTGGGGAAACTGAGGCACGAGAAGGTAACCCTGAGACTATGAAGCGGCAGAACTTGAAGAGTTCTGGCCCACGGGGCTGGCCCCCGGGTTCTCTCCTGGCAGGCATCCATGTGCGAGGTGGTCCGGCCATGCCCCGCCCTCCCTGAGCCTCAGTTTTCCCCTCTGCGAAGTGGAAGTATTAACAGAAGTAACTCCTGCCCCCGCAGGCTTGGACCTGAAGCATGCTGTCCATGCTCTTGGAGAATCTGGGGTTATCTTGTCCCCGTTCCGAGGGGAACACAGAGACAGGAAGACAGGAGGACAGAGGTCTGACCAAGGGCAGCCCGGCTCGGATGCCACAGCGTCTGGGGCCGCCCGTGAGGGCGGCGGGGACAGACCCATCTCCCTGCCCCTTCTTCACTCGGCCACCAGGGGGCGCACTGACGGCGTGAAGCAAGCGCAGGCCCTGGCCTCCCTTTCAGACTCCGATTCCCTTTTCCGCCTCCTCCAGGTCTTGCAAAGGGAGTCTGTAACCGTCATTTCCCTCCTCGCTGGCCTCCTTCGCTACACCTCCCAGAAATTATGCTCCCACCCCGGGGCTTTTGCGCTGGCTGTTCCCTCTGCCCGAGGGCTCCCTCTTTCCCTCTTTGCCCCAGGAGCTGCTTTACCCTACCCCCAAGACCCCACCCCTCGCCTCTGCTCCCAGCCCACTTCCTGCAGCGCCTCTCCCCCGGACCTGACTCCCCGGGATCCTGACACACCACTGCCCGCTGCCCAGCCTTCTTTCCAGCCGTCGCCCCCTCACCAGCCAGCCAGCATCCGAGGCCCTCGGGCACTTCAAGGGCCACAGTGTTCTGGTTTCTCCTGCCTGGCCCTTCTTTCCCCTCTGGAATAAAGATGCGGCAACTCCAAAAACAGCAGGGGAGGGAATTCCTCAGGTTCGATCCCTGGTCGGGGAACTAAGATCCAACAAGCCAGGAGGCGCGACCAAAAAAGATAAAAGAATAGAAATGGGGCAGCTCTGCAGCGGGGTCTGCGGCTCCAGTTAGTCCCTGTCTAGGCTCAACCCTCCGCCCCCCTCCCCCACCCTCCCCGGCCCTCCCCCGCCCTCCCCCGCCCAAATGCCGCCAAGTCGCCTGGGACAGGATGGGACTGGGCTGTATGTCCAGGGAGGATCGTCCCCTCTGTGGTTCCAAGGTTTTGGTTTATTTTCTTTCTCTTTTTTGGCTTCCCAGCTTGCCGGATCTTAGTTCCCTGACCAGGGACTGAACCGGCGTCCTCAGCAGGGAAAGCTCAGAGTCCTAACCACTGGACCACCAGGGAATTCCCTCTGGTCCTCAACCATACTGCTGCTTGGCCGATGGGGATTTTCCAGACCAAAGCGAATCCTGGGGAGGGCTGAGAGATGAGGAGAGCTGTGGTCTGTGTGGAGGGGAGGTCTGTGACCGCCCCCCCCCCCCCAGTTACCCCATGTTGATCGATGGTCAAAGTCCCCCGGGAGCTTCTGGTTTAATTTCACCGTCTCTCCTGGGGTGGAGTGAAACCAGGAGACTGGGCAGGCACGCATTCTCGGGCCACCTGGACTCTGCCCGCCCTCTCCTGAATGGTCCCCTCACGGGAACCTCTGTGTCACCCACATGCAGACTGGACCCAGACCCCTCCCCTCATCCGGTCTCTCCCCAGCCCTGAGTCCAGCTGGAGTTTGACATAAGAGGCTGGTTTTGTGCCCAGGGGTCTCCACGGTGACCCAGCAAGGGTGCACGCAGAGCCCCTGCCCCCACCAGCGGGGACCATGAGATCCAGGGAGGACGGTGAGCAGGGCAGCGACAGAGCCCGCGGGAAGCTGGCTGCTCAGGCCGACCCGGGTGGCACAGGCTGCAGCTCCCCCTTTGACCTCCAGGGGGCATTCCAGCCCCAAAGACATGGTCACCAGGGCCCTGTCCTAGTTCAGCAGCGGGGGAACGGCTCCTGCTCCAGAATCGGCCGTGCTATCCCAGGACACCAAGCAGACCCGCTGAGCCTTGGTTTCTCCATCTGTAAAGGAGAGCAGTTACAGGAACAGCTTCACTAGGAGGGGTCAGTGAGGAGATGCTAGTAAATGCTTCGGCATCCAGCATGTGCTCATCGGATGTGTGGGCCTTCTGCCTAGCCCAGAGCTCAGGCAGGTGGACAGAAAGCTGAGCGCTGAAGCATGGCCGTGGGGCCAGAAGCACCTTCTGGGGGAAGGACACTTGGGTCCACTTAGGACACGCTGAACGCCAAGGGCATGGGGGAGGTCTGGAGGCCCGGGATGGGGCTGAACCCGTGAAAGGGTGTGGGGTGGGGTTTACTCAGGCTGCGTGACCTCCCCTTCATGTGGTCGAGGGAGCCAGAGCTTCCGGTGGGGAATCAGCCCAGTGATAGGCCCCTGGCTGCTGGCTCTGATAGTTGTAAAGCGGTGAGCTCCCCGTGGCCAGGGGCATGCAAGCAAACAAAAGGTTTCGAACAGCATCTACACCAGGGGACAGGCCAAGAGGCCTGATTCTCTGAGGACCCATGAACAGGCAGGTCACATCCTGGCCGCAGGAGACCGAGGGGAGTACTGCCCGGCAGCTGGACTCCCCTGTCAGAGGCAGCAGGTTCCAGAGAGCTAGAGAACGGACATTCCTCAGCTCCAGGCACCCGGGCAGGCCGCTCCTGCCTGGTGAAACGTAAGCTGGGTCTGGCTGCGTGGACTGCGTGTTTTTCCAGTGGCTTCTTCAGCCACAGCCTGACCACAACCTAGATTCCGTCGGGCCGGCCATTTCCAAGTGTTTGTGTTCAGCTGGGCCAGACGGCGGGCCCGTGGCTGTGGCCTCCCAGAAAGCCTGGAGAAGCACCCCCAGCCTCCTACCCAGACAGCCCTCTGGCCCAGAAGCTGCTCATTAAAGCTGCTCGTTAAAGCCACTCAGCAGAGAATGACATGGGATACAGGAGATGGGACAATCGTGCTGAGGGCCAGGGGAAGCCTGTGTGTCCCATGAGCAGGGGTTCCCCCCCAGCCAGGACCCCAGGGGCAAAGACACGACCCTGGGCACAGCTGACTTATTGGAACCCCTCCATGCTGGCCTTCAGACTTTAGGGTCAGCTTATGACCATGTCAGCCACAATTGTAAGTCAGAAGCCAGCACGGTATGTGAACAGCCCTGCCTCCGCGTTGTACTTCCCCCTCTCAGCCTTAGCTTTCCTTGGCTGTAAACTAGAGATGATAATGGAACCTGTCGTTCATGAGATCCAACCCAATGCCTAGCAGGTGCTTCACAAACCTGAGGACTCTTCCCTGCTTCCAGGAGGGGTCTGGCTGCCTCCCCCATCAGACTGAAAGCTCCCTGAAGGGAGAGGCTGGGTCTTCAAGAGGAGGTAGTGAATGGAGTTTTGCCTGTGTCCCTGCCCTGCTCAGAACCTTCACAGACCAAAGGTAAACTCTAAAACCAGCATTCAAGACCTTCGCATATCTGATAGCGGTTTGGCAAACTCCTATTCACTCCTCAAAGCCCATAGCAAATGTCCTCTTCTCCAGAAAGCCTTCCTTTGGCCCTTCTGGGTTTTTTTTTTCTTTTCAGTCCATGACCCTCCTGTTGGCCCAAATCAGACCCCTACAGGCTGAGCTATCTGTGTCTGGCTCTGGGTCCCTCTCCAGAATGGGGTTCTGGAAAGACCAGTGTAAGCACAATCAAGCATCACTGTGCCCACAGGTCTGCATGGAGACATCACATGCGAGCACACGGGTGCACATCTGTGTGTCTGTCTGTCTGTCTCTGTGCCTCTGCCGGGCCCCAGCAGCGGCAGCCAGGTGAACTCCCCCCAGACCACCCAAGACAGAGGCATCTCCACCAGAGGCAAGCAGCGTGGGCTGAGCAGGGCCCATGGGGGCCCTGAAATGGCTGGGAGCTCATCTGTCTCCCAACTTTCAGCAGAGAAGAAGCAGGGGTGTGAGCCGCCGGCCTCAGCCTCCACCACGCAGGCGCTGTGCCCTTAGACCCACCATCAGAACTCAAGCCCCATCTGGGGCAAAGGACGGGCTGGGGCTCCGGGGGGGTGGCCTGAGTCCTGAGTGGGCTCCCCCACCACTGCCTTGAGAGAGGCCCTGCCAGGCGGCCTTCGAGGACATACCTGAGGTTTGGCAACACCCGGCCAGACAGCCCCCGGGGTTGAGTCAGCAGGAAGAGATTCAGGACTTCCCAGGAAAAGCATCTGGGACTCCAAGGCGCCCCGGCCCCAGCCCACACCCTCCCTGGGGCTGCTGGAAGGTGGCGGTGCCTGGGCGCTGTGTGGGACTGAACTGCGGGGGTTCGTGTAGACTCAGAAGCGAGCCCGACGTCGGCAGTCTGGGAGTCTGAGGGTCGAGTGTCCCCAAGAGCAGGGTGATAGAGGGCAGCTGTGAGTGTTGATGCCCCACTGTGTGCAAATGCGCTTGGCTGCTGGCGCCCCGCAGGACCCTGTTGCATAGGCTTTTGTCTGGACGCATCCGCCTGGGCAGCTGTGAGGGACACAGTGACCAGCAAGGCTGTCCCGTGCCGCGTGACCAGCAAATCCAGCCACGTGCGCTTTGAGGGGGCAGACTACAGGTGGGGCTGCAATGAAGTGTAACAGGGAGCCGAATGAGGGACAAGAAGGTGGCTGGGTGGTGTGGGAGGGAGTATCCAACGGGAGGACAGGGACAGGGTGTGGCCAGGGCAGTGTGACCTCGGGACTGACCGTGAGGACTCCTGACCCCACATGCCACGTCTCCAGGGCTGCGCAGTGCCTGTGACCCTGGTGGGGCAGAAGGTGTTCCCTGCATGTCTGTTGCTCCCCTGACCCCTGGGGTCTCCTCCCTCCTGCCTGCCCACATCTCCCACCCCAGACCCTGGGGTCTGGCCTCCGCTCCTGCCCCGGGAGGGTCAGACCGCTGGACGTAGGCATTCAGCTAGGCTGCTCTTTCTCTTTTGGCTCTCTGCCTCTGTTTCCACTATTAAAATGCAAGCACTCCCACCCCGCCACCTGACTGAAGCCAGGTCTCCCCGCCAGGCTGGCTCCAGTCTTTGGGGTCTGCGACTGGGTCATATCCAACCCTGAGGGCTGATGAGGGAGACAGACAGGGCTAGGGAAGTGGTGGGTGGCTGCGCCAGGGCCACAAGGCCCCGACGGAGGAGCCAGCAACATCAGCCAGGAGAGGAGCCCACCCGAGGGGAGGGGGCTCCGGCCTGCAGGTTTGGACGCTGCAAGGGCTGCCACTTGGGAGGGGGCAGACCCCAGCTCCATAAAAGAAACACTTTCCAACATGCTTTCCCACAACAGTTCTAGAAGAGCCTTTGTTATGAGAAATTATGTGATCTTCCCCTGTTCCAGCACCCTCTGTGGCTCCCCACCAACCTCCAGAGACTCTCCAGCTCCTCACTCAGCACTCAAGGCTTTGCTCACCTCCCCTGGGTATCTCCATCTCCTGGCCCATTGAGGTTTCCCTTCTCAGCCTTCACATGTATCTTTCCAGCTGCCTGATACGCCCTTCCTGCCTTGCCCCCCTGGAAAACTCCTATACATCCTTCAAGACCCACTGCCTTTGTCCCTTTCTCTGGGAAGCATTACCCTTTCCCTTGGTCTAGGGTGTCCCCATTTCCCGTGTGACCCTGGGCAAGTCCCTTCATTTGTGAAATGAAAGGTATGTGTGTGACAAATCACCCTTACGAAAAGTACATTTGGGGGTCCAAGACAATAAATATACGTTATAGTGTTCGTTGCTCAGTCGTGTCTGACTCTTTGCAACCCCATGAACTGTAGCCTGCCAAGCTCTTCTGTCCACAGAATTCTCCAGGCAAGAATAAAATGCCCTTAAGGTGAGTTAGGGCTGTGGGAGGGGGCAAAGAGGGCTTGTATCCAGTCAGTGCTCGATGCATGTTCATTTTCCTTTCTCCTCTTGGATTCTACAGGTTTGAGAGCCTCTTGTTCTAAGCACCATTCCAAGATTTTTCTCCCACTCACGGTACTAGGAATTTTAAGAACCCCTGCTTCTAAAATTAAAAGTCTAAAATGCTGTGGGCAGGACCAAGGACTTCCTTGTGCCCTGAGCTGACCCCAGGGTGACTGAGGCCGGGGTCTCTGGGGGGAGTCCTTATGCCCCCCCCACGCCCCAAGCTGATGGGGTGTGATCTGGCAGCCCCAGTTTTAGGGAGAGAGCGATGGATTTAGCAGGAGGCAGATGGCAAACGTTTCAGCAGGGAAGGGGCGGGACTCCTGGCTCAGAAGTAGAATGGGGTCACTGTGCAGTGTCAAGAAGCCCAGGGCTGTCAGCTAAGAGCCATGGTTTCCTCTCTTGGAGCCTCAGTTTCCTCATCTGAATGTTGGAACTGAGTGCTGTCCTCCTGAAGGGCTGTCAGCACGCGCGAGGAGGCTCTCGGGCTGCAGCCACTGCCAAGCATTCTCTCGGGCCTGACACTTGGCCAGCAAGTCTCCCGGCCCGCTTCCCTCCAGGAGCCCCTGCTCACGCCTGGCCCGGCCACTGCAGCTGGGGAGCGGGTTTCAGGATGACACCCAGCCACCCCGGTCCTAGGGAAGGGAGGCCAGCAGGCCGCTCCAAATTCAGCTACCCCAGGCCTGGCATCGGCCACGGCCCCAACACTTTCTCAATAAAAGGTATTTGGCAGCCGAGCCTGACACCTCATCACACTCGGCCTGGAAGCCAGCTTCTCCTGCGGCTGCAGGGGGAGCCCCCTCCTCTCCCGCTGCTTCCCAGGACCCCGACAGGCAGACCTGGCGTCTGCGTTGCCCGGGGTGGGAACCTGCCGCTCTGAGCCCCTCTGAGCCCCCCTGTCAGCAGAGAGTGGAGACTGGAAAAGTCAGTCCGGATACACGCACATGCCCCTGGCTTCCAGGGCCCTCCCAGCGTCTCCCCTCTCTTGTCCGTCACAGCCGATCCAAGGGGAGGCTGGGGTGCCGGCACCAGGGCTCCAAACCTCTGCTGGTCTCCAAGCAGAGCCCCAGGGCCCACCCTCAGAGACTGGAGCGATACCCTGGGCTTGCTAGCTTTTTCCAGACCCTCCAGGCCCCTGAGTCTGCTCCCCTGGGCAGAGGAAA